TGAAAAGTCATGTTTTTATAAACTAGAAGAAGTAGACTTTTTAAAAATTAAAAAAGTCGAATAGTCGACTTTCAATTCAACTATAGCACCCTACTAGTTGTAGACCATTTTATGAAAATGTACAGGTAGTATGAGTGATTTTTAAATATATGTACATACATATATCAGAAGTATACGTCTTGATGGGCACGTTTGTAATCGACTTCTCTTCCTTTGCTTTAAATTCTTTCTCTTACCAATGAAAATTGCCTTTCCTTAAATTTTAAGAAATCGAAAAGTCTATTAGAATTAGTAGACCATTTTATTAATATATACGGGTGGTATGAGTGATTTTTAAATATATATATATAAAGCATACGATCTGATGTACAAATTTCCCTTGCTCCACCGGTTTAAATTCTTTCTCTTAACCAATAATTTTATTTATTTTTTATACGTTACATATATTTTTTAATCAAAAATAATTGAAAATTATGGTTTTTCAAAATAAAATATAAAAGAAGAAAAAACTACCAGCAGTAGTGTTGCCAAGCTAATGGAAAAAGTCCCGTTTTCTCGAAATTTTTAAGAAAAATTTCATTTATATGGAAAAGGGTATAGATTTTCTATATTTAGTCCATAATTCTTGTTTTCAGTTGTCTACTATATAAATATAATACACAATATTTTTCTAGTTCTTCACTTAAAATCTTAAATATTAAAACTTTTTTCAATTTGTTTTTATTTTAATAAAAATCAATCTTACTTTGACTAATGCAATTGGCAACACAGCAGAAAATTGTCATGATTTTTGACAAGTGCGACCAAATATTGAAATAATCAAAATTTTTACCTTTAAATTCATTTAAAAGTTTAGGGAATAAAGTTATTTTTCAGTTTTTCTGGCAACTCTAATACTTACACTCTGCATTAAAAAGCAAACAAACTTTCCCATTATTAAACTGATAATTAATTACAATTACTCATTTTCATGTTTATACTCTCCTCTCACTCCCTTTTTATATTAAACAAACTTTTTTTAACGCAATTTTTTTCATTAAACTCTTTCTCCTGATTGTGGCATACCTACCATTTTTTTTTCTGAGTTAATCAATTTTTATATTGGCAGTTTATTTGACAGTTGAGTAAATAATAAAAATACAAAACAAAAACAAAATTTTTCATGTAAATCATTATGTAAATACATATGTTTTCAAGTAAATATTACCCATTTTATACATGTTGTTCTTTTTGCTCGCATATGCTTGGTTGTTTGTTTGTGTCATGTTAATGTCAATTCAATTTGTATATTTGTCCATTTGTCAAGAGATTTTAATCATCATCATATTTAAGATTGGTTTACTTTTAATATGTATATATACTCTACATATGATAGTTGTATGTAAATAAAACAAAATATTTGTGTAGATTTGTGTGTAGTTATTATTAAATTACATGACACTTACATTTATTACGAAAAAAAAAAAAAGTTGATTAGGGGTGTTAATGTTACGGAGTTTTTCTTATCGTAATCATTAAATAAATAAAATTTCTATAATTGATTATGAAAATTAAGGTATTTATAAAAGGAATACACAATTGTATATATAGAGATGGTCAATTAAATAGCAGCTTAAAGTAGCTGCTGGTATTACTGCTTTTATTATTGATTGATTGGGCAACCTTTTTTAATGTTTATGTATGTTTTTAGCTTTTTGGCAACACTATTGTTTATATTATGAAAGAAGAATTAATAGTGATGCCAAAGAATACATATGAAAGAAAAGTCGATTTTTTTTAATTAATAGAAAATAACGATTAAAAATAAACCGATTAATGTCCTGTCATATAAATATAAACCATAAAATTCTATTAATTGCCTTTTTAAAGTGTATTTACTCAAATCTTTCAATTACATTACAAAAATGTGTTTATGTTTGAAAACATTCTAATTAGAAGCGTAATTTTAAATCGCTATAACTCTGGCTTTTTACATTTTCTTCTTTTACATACTTATTAGTAATTCATCATTTTTCTCTGTGTTTAATTTTCTTACCATTAGCACTTAACATATTGTGTGTATTTTTCGTTTTTTTTTTTTATTTCTTCTGGCCAAGAAATTCTCTTTTACTTGTGTCTTTCTTCTTTTTTTATTTGAATATCATTAAAATTTTAATAAAAACTCTGATTTCAATGAAAATTAAAATGAAAAAAAAAAAAAAAACTGTTAACTTACCACCACAGTGTCTGCACAAGTCAGTGTAAGTAAGTGGTGGTTACTTATAAAGCTAATAGACTTTTTTAAAGTAAACTGTTGCATGTGCTGAGGCTGGGGGGGTTTTATTTACTTTGCTGAAGTGTGGGCAGGAGGAGATTTTTTCAAGCTTGAAAAGAGCTGGTATTTTTTTAATTAAAAAGTAAAGATTTTTTGCAGTTGAGGGCAAATATTAAACAATTAAATTTAATGTATTTTTGTTTATTAATTAGTAATTTAAACCATTATTTTGACAACTTTATCATAATCGTATAACGCTAATAAATTGTGACTACACCTGATAATTTTTTATTATGATAAGAATTTAATGTTACACAGTAAAAAATAATTTTAAAAAATTTTCAATTAAACGATTAATTAAAAATTTTAAAAGGGTTCAATTCATTTTGTATTTGAATCATAAAAATGTATAATCAAATACGTATTTAACAACAACAAAAATATAAAAAAATAAAAATTTTGTATACGAAATCAATTATAAGTAGTAATTGAATATACAATTTTTGTTATAGGTTGAACTTCAATAAATAAAATAATTGAAAACGAGGTTTTGGTAATTGAAATCGTTTTTCAGTTTTTTCTGTGTAAGCATAACAAAAATTTATCAAATCTAGACAAAATAATTAGAAATTTCTATTGTTTAATTTGCCGTGTTTACATGGCAACATTGTTAAATTTCTGGCAACCTTCAAAATAAAAAATGTAAACAAAAACAGATGTGTTGGTAAAAACCTCTAGAAAAAAAGTTAACAATGCAATGTAAACAAAAGAAAAAAATTACCAATTTTATAACTAAATTTATATAAAATTTGTCAACCGAACAAATTTCTACATTTAAACTGATAGCTGACTATTGGTAACATGATAATGTATTACTGTCAGCAACACATTTAACTCCAGACAATGTGTAGGACGAACTCTATAATATACAAGGGAATGTTTAATTACTGGAGGGTTTTAAATATAAACAAGTAAGAGTGCTATATTCGGCTGTGCCGAATCTTATATACCCTTCACCATAGTGTATTTAAAAAATATAAATTTTATTAAATTTAAATTTATGTACCTATGTACATATTTAATTTTCCCGATTATATCATTATTATAGCAATAGCAAAACAAAATGAACAACAACAACGCTAAACGAAATAAACACTCAAAAAACAAAATACACAAGGCAGTAAAACCAACAGACATCAAACATACGAAACTGTACACCAACAAACAAAAACAATATACACAAGCCAATGAAACACACAGCCATCCAAACATACAAAACTGAATACACCAAGAAACAAAAACAATATACACAAGGCAATGAAACACACAGCCATCCAAACATACGAAACGAAATACTCGAAAAAAAAAACAAAAACAAAATACACAACGCAATCAAACCAACAGACATCCAAACATACGAAACTGAATACACCAAGAAACAAAAACAATATACACATGCCAATGAAACACACAGCCATCCAAACATGTGAAACGAAATACTCAATGAATAAGCAGTGTTGTTGTTGTTGCTTATTAATCAAAACATGAAAAAAATTGTCTATTTTCATGAAATTTTCAGAGGTTGTCTCGGATTTTTGCTTATATCTCCGTCATTTATGGACCGATTTTGCTGATTTTAAATAGCGATCTTCTCGAAAGCATGTCTAACAGAATTATTGAAGATTCGAATCTCGCCGATATCTGGGGTCCTCTAAATACTGATTTCAACAGACAGACAGACGGACATGGATTAATCGACTCCGCTATCTATAAGGATCCAGAATATATATACTTTATAGGGTGTGAAAATTATATTATAGAAATTAAAAACGGAATGACAAACTTATATGTATATACCCTTCTCACGAAGGTGAAGGGTATAAAAATATTTCCATAGATTTTGCAATTGCTATTTCATTTCCATTCTGCAAACCTTAAGACTATAGCTTACTCCTACTAAAATGTAGATAAATCTTTCCAGCTCATTCTCTTCCAAAGATGACCTCACGTAAAAACTTCCCTGCTTTTTTCCTTAACTGCCTGCCTGACCGTTGTCTATTTTTAGACCTTTTATTTTTTCATCTTTGCATATTTTTGTTGCCATCATATAAAAATGGTTTAATTTTTAATAAACCACTCACAATTATTTGCAATTTTCATTTTGAATGCTGTTGCTGGCCATGGAGGACATAACATATCTATCATACTTACATTTATATATTCAGGACCTTTTTTTTGGTATAACGAACTCTCAGATTACTATCTGCCATAGCACATCTTTCATACAAAGCATTTAACTCACATTGTTAACAATCAACCAAGCGTCCAGCCATCCATCCATCCATCCATCCCCCGAATGGCGAACAAACATATTTAAAAATTCATTTTATTGTAATGTTTTATTTTAATTAATTTAATTTTTTCACTTTTTATTACAACAAATTTAATTTGAAAATATGAATGTTGTTCTCCTTTGTCCAAAAGAGATCAAAGTCAGCGTTAAAAGTAAACAAATTCTCTAAGGAAAATTTTGAAAAAATACTATATAATAAAGGAATCTTTAATATTTTCCTTCTTCTCATCATAATAGGAAGTTTATAAAAAGAAAGTAACCACAAAGTTAATTCCCTTAAGTTTTTTTTTTATTTATTGAGGCTAATATAATGATTTCTTAAAGAAATTGTTCATACATTTTTTAAAAGTAAAATAAATATTTATTTATTTCTCATTCTCTTACTATTTCCAGATAAACTTGCCACCTGTTTTGTTTGTAAAGCGGAAAATTGCCCTCGTACCCGCCCCCTGAAAAAGGGTCGTGGTCAACAATATGGCATACCCGATGATACCATACCAGCCGGTGCTAGAGTTTGTAATACGTGTCAATGTAAATCGGTACGAACACGTTATCCCAACTGTCCTCTACCCACTTGTCCAAATCCCAAAGATCGTGCCAAACGTCTGCGCAATATACCGGCACGCCTTTATGAACTGGCGCCCGAAGTGCGTGATCCCATAATGCAAGAATTTCAAATACCTGCACAGGCAACTCGTTGCTGTTCGGCTTGTCTTATGCGTATACGAAGAAAATTGGATCCGCATGTTAATCTGACTGATGAAGAGCGTCGTACGGATGGTGATGAATCGGATGTTAGTACATCGTCATGTGATGAACGTGAGCCGGGTGGCAGTGATACTGCTTCGGTGGAAAGTCCCGAAAGTCAGCGTCATAATTCGCTAAGCAAGGATCTCGTACAAAAACCTTCTGGCCAATTGGTGGCTAATAAAAATATGGAAATCATCAATAGTTCTTCTACTCCCGACACTACTTCAGCGGCGACAGCCGCAGTCAGTGGGGTTGGTAGTATTAGTAATAATACTGTTTCCATTACCAAAGCAGATGAACGCTTATTGCCACCACTCGGTCATGCGCCTAAGAAACAAAAGACTTCCGAGGAATATGACTCCTCGGCTACAGAAACCGCCGATGAAGAGAATGAGAATTCTCCTGCCAATCGTCAAAGTCCCAAGGTTATACTAAACAGTACGAGTAGTGGTGGCAGTGGTGGTGTTGTTACATGCAGCAGCAGTAGTTCTGTGGTAGTGTCAGCCGCCTCAGGTTTAGGACCACCACCTCCAACCTCATCCATAAATGGTCCAATGCCACCATCGTCTGCTCCGTCTTCATCGCCCAACGCAGGACCGGATGCCAATAAACAGGGCCATGCTATGTCGCGTGATTTGCAAGACTATCTTTACAAGGTAATTGAACATTCCCTCAAGCAAAAGGGTCCTCCACCTTCCAAACCACCAGCCCAGCCACCTACACAAACAAATCAACTTTCCAATCCACACATGGTAAATATGAGCAAACCGCCCATACAACTGACCTTGGATTCAGCGCCAAACAGCGGCAGTGTCAGCAACAATAACAGACGCAATGAGGTAATTAGCAGCAGCAGCACAGCCAACAACAACAGCCTCAACATCAGCAGTAATAAAAACAATAACAGCAACAATAATTCCAATAACGATGTCACCATTGTACGGGAATATCGCAATGATGGCTCGATCAAACATCAACAACAGGCTCATGGCCAGCCCTTGATTGTGGGCGGCAGTGGTTCAGCTTCTTCGGGCAATAGCGTACAAAATCTAAATGTACGACAATCACAAATAGTCCAGCAACAGCCACCACCAACTAGTACACAAATGGGCTCCACTGCTAGTACGGCTCCGGGTCATCCGGAAAATTTAGCCACCTTATCGGTGGTGAATACGTATATGCCAGGTCAACATTTACCTCCACCTTCGCATGGCATGCTGCATCATCAGCAGCATGATATCAAGGCCACCATTACACCCGTCATGAAGTCGGGCAAAACATCGACTCCACCCCATGTGGTGGCACCCTCCCCTGACAGCATAATCTATGGTGCATCACGTAACAACGAACCTGAGCCTCAGACTCTGGACTTGTCGATTAAGAAACCCTCCAGAGATGGACCCTCACCACACAATTCATCTAATAACTCCTCGTCGGCCGCGTCGGGAGTTGGCAGTGATAGTGGCAGTGTTGGTGTATCACGTCATCAGCAGCCTGGCAGCAGTTCGGGTGTTAAACACGTGGGCAATGCTCCCAGCATGTATCGTGGTTCAGAACCATCACCTCTTATTGCAGCTCCGCCTAATCATGCGTACCTTTATCATCCTCACCCAGCCACTGTGGGAGTAGGTAAAGTACCACCACCGGGTTCCCTTTATGTGTCACAAGTACCTGTTCCCATGTCTATAACTCAACAGCCTGGTGGTCCAGGATTGGGTAGTTCCTCGCAACGAGGACAATCCTCACAGCAGCCACCACCTCCCTCACAACCACCACCATCGCACATGCAATTGTCGGGTCAACACAGCAAATCTATGGGTGGCAGTGTCAATAAGATGCCGCCGAAATTAAGTCCACAATTAATACATCCACCACCGCCGCATTCGCATCAGGCTCCCTCACCTTCCCAGCAGCAGCAACAACAGCAATTACTGGTGGGACCTAAAGGTTCCATAACCCATGGCACCCCCGTCAATAATGCCGCTCAACAGATAATTGTGCACTCCGCCCCCGCTGGAGCAACCTTAAGTCCTAAGTTTGATAATCTACTAAGACAGACACCCCCTTCGGGTGCTTCGGGCGCTGAAAGTAATAAATTGGGCTCGATAACTCAGGGCACGCCCATACACCTGCCCTCGCATTTGGACAGTAAACGAGCCTATGAATATGCCTACAAATCCTCACAACGTCAAAGTCCAGCTCAAATGCAGCATCATCCCCCACCACCGCAACAGTCATCACCACAAGGTCCACCCCAAAATACCTACTCGGTGGGACCCTTCTCTAGAGCCCCCTATGCAGTGGAACAACCGCCTGTCTTGAGCACTCGGCAAATTGTAATGCACGATTATATAACATCGCAACAAATGCAGGGACAACAGCAAAGAAATGTGCCACGCAGTGGTAGTGCAAACTCAGCTGGTACTCCTGCTTCAGGCAAGGAATCACCTTCACCCCGTAACTCAGCCAGTGGACTGGTATATTACGACAAGGAAAGAGGACGCACCGAATACTCGAGTCGAGCCTCACCGGCAGAACATGCCAATAGGTAAGTTTTATATTTATTTAGAATTGTCTTCTTTTTTACTAAATATCTTATCACTTGTTTGTGAAGTACTCCCAGCCCTCATCGTACACCGCCACCACCAAGGCAAGGTGTTATCCAACGCCACAATACAGGCTCTAAACCACCCTCACCTGCTGCGCCACCCCAAAATCGTATGCATGTAGTGATGGCGCACAATTTTCCGCCAGGTAAGAATGCCGGAGAACAATTAGAAAGAGATTCAGGTGGTCGATGGAATGCTCATTTGGATCCTTTTCTTTCTTTAGCCGGTCACGATGCCTTTTCGTCATTCGTTGACGTTGCTGTGCAGCAACCCCAATTGCCAGTGCCCTCCCAAAAAGATGACAAATCATCCGCTCCCTCTGGACCGCCAGGAGGCTCTGCAGGTGGTGGTCCACCACCACCTAATGCCGGTCAACCACAACCGCCACCTCCCTCTCACCACGATTCCATACGCTATCAAATGAATCGTGATCAACATATGGCCGCTTTACAAATGCAACATCACCATCAACAGGCGGCCGCAGCAGTCGCACAACAACAGCATCAGGCCGCTGTAGCCGCTCAACAGCATCAGTACCGTCAGCAGCATGCCGATATGCAACGACGTCTGGAACAACAGAAGCGAGACCAGCGCATGCATAATGCGGCCATTGAGAGAGATCGTGACGCGAAACGTCAAGAGAGAGATCGTATGGAACGTATGCATGCCGAACGTTTAGATCGTGAGAGAGAACAACGCGAAAGGGATCGCGAGAGAGATCGTGAAAGAGATCGTGAGAGGCGTGAGCAAGAGCGTGCTGCTGAAGAGCGAGAGCGTGATGGCAGGCGTATGGAGCGTATCTATGCGGGTAATGCTGCAACAGCGGCAGCAGTGGCAGCGGCAACGGGACAACCACATTATATACGTGGACCTCCCCCACCAGAGACAGGACCACCACGTACGATACCAGATCGCGAACGAGATCCGTAAGTATTTGTAGTTTTTCGTTATTTTTTTGCGTTTCTCACTCATAATATGTATTGGGAGAAGTTGTGTAAAAGACTGCTGCTAGCATTTTGTTTCAGTCACGTAGGAGACTTTATTCTTCATTTTGTGTTTTGTTGTTTGTTTATTATATTTCGTTTAAAACATTTCATTCATAACACAGACCAACATAATTTGAAAAAGTCGAAACCCATAGACCAATGTATACATTTCAAAATGATTGAGCTGTGTGTCACATTTGAGACGTTATTAAATTTGGATTAGCGAAACTTAATCCTTTAGAAACGTATACTTTGATCTCTGGTCAAAAAATGTTTGGCCTGTGTAATTAGAGCTTTTTTGTTTGCTTCTTGTGTATTTTCTCTCGTTCTCGTTGTGTGATCGTTTTTCTCATTTATTTTGTATGTATTTTGTATTTGCTTACTAATTAATACAGCTATCATAGGACTCATCCTGGCCAACCACCCACAGAGGGTACATTTTCCGCCCAGAATCTAATCGATGCTATAATCAAACATCAAATTAGTCAAACCAGCACTGAACCCAACAGAGATTTAACCAGAACTGGATTTGTAAGTAGATTTTTAATTTAAAAAAAAAATGAAATTATGAAATAGATATTGAAGTAATTAAATGAAATAATGAGATAATTGATAATTTCTTAGTTATTTTTGTAAGTGTTAAAATAGTTTACAAAACACTAATATACAACTCTCTTGTACAGTATAATGCCCGAGATATTGGACCACCGCGTCATCCTACAAACGCCACAATTTCATCTCTACAAGCGGCTGAAAACAATGGCAAATCATCATCGCCCAATGTCATTAATATTGATCTAGACAATGATCGTAGCACTGTGGCATCATCATCGTCTTCGTCCAGTGGAGGTCATCACGAGCCACCCTCATCACGTAACTCACGCGGTGGCGGACATAGTGGCATGCCGCCAACATCATCACAGCCACCACCACCCCAATCCCAGTCATCACAAATGCGTACGAAAAACATTACATTCGGAGAATTAACCGATAAAATTATATCGAATGACTATCACAATCCAATGCATTTACGGGCACCGCCACCACACCCAACCAACTTTATGCCCTATATGCAAGATCCTCAGGGCATTATAGCCACCGATGTGTGGAAAATGAGTAGGCGTGTACAAAAAGAGGCAGAAGCGGCAGCAGCAGCTGCGGCAGCCGGACCAAAAGGTGTACCATCGTCTGCTCAACAACAGGGTGTGAATTCAAATTCCAATCCGGGCACTCCCAACAGCCAGGGCGGTAGATCTACAACGCCCGGTGATGAACGCAACATAATAAGAATGCCCCAGTCTCATAGTCCGCGCAGTAAATACATGCAGGAGTTTATGATACAAGCCCAGGACTATCATTATCAGCAACAGCAGCAGCAACAACATCAACAGCAAGCAGGCAGTTCTATTATGAGAGGAGGCTCAGCCTATGACTCTAATCCGGGTCCGGGGGGTTCCTCTAGTTCGGCAGGAGGCAGTGGTGGTGGCTCAGGGCCACCAGTGGTACCAAATCACACTTTCGATACCATGAAATATGTACAAAATCGTATTGTAGAGGTAATGCGCACCGAGGATGATCATCGTGCTGCCAGCGGTGCCGGTCCAGGTCCTTCCAATGATCATCATGATCATCACAACGATCATCGCATGAAAGATCCTCATGAACCGCGCAAAACACCCAATCAATATGATGATCGCGATGGTGGTCGCCGCTCTGCCAGCAGTGATTCCTCACATTCGCATCCTTCTAGTATGGGTGGTGGCTCCTATCAGCCGGCCCCCGTTACAACATTTGCTGCCACCACTTATGCTTATCCCTATAGCGCTTTGAATGTACCCAGTTCGGTGGCTGGTCTACCGCCACCTCCACAAATGAGCTTAAATGTAGCCCATCAAATGCCACCCACTTCGGGTTCTTCGGCTCATAAACAACCCACACATGTGTTGCATGGTGGCGGCGGCAGTGGCAGTATGGGTCATGATGGTGGTCCCAATTCGGTGGTAAGCACTACATCGGGTGGTGGTCCGGGTGGTCAAGCGGGTTCGGCTAATGAACCTAAACCTCTGCTGTCGGCTCAATATGAGGCATTAAGTGATGAAGATTAGTTGTGACTTCAAGCGTCTGGGGTGCAGCATCGCTATCAAGCACAAACCCAGACGCATGCCATACATACTCAGCAACAGACACAACAGCAACAACATCAGCAGCAGCATCATAATACACAGCAACAACAACAGCACCACAATCAAACACATCATCAATATCAAGTTGCTGCTGTTAATCGTTTGTCATCAGCTGAAGAACAAACAAGAACAAGTATACGAAGTCACTCTAAGCACTCTAATTCTCAGCAACAACATTATCAAACTAATCAGCAACATATGAACCTACAACAACAGCAACAACCACAATACAATTATGCACGTAATGTTTATAAAACTCACGATTTAACGATAGAACATCAGCAGCAAACGCCACAAACTCAGCAAACAATGCAAACAACAACACATTATCAGCAACAGCATCATCATCAGCAGCAGCAACAACAACAGCACTTACAACGCCAACAGCAACAACAACAACAACAACTTTCATTTAATGGTAATATGAAAAATAACAACAACCTCAATACAAACAATAATAACAATCGTTATTTTTAAGACAAATAGTAGAAAACTTTTTCCCCCACTCACTTTCTAAATTATTCTTATTCCAAGAAAAAAAAAAAATAGCGAGCATTTATTTGTTATTAAAAAAAAGGGAAATTTGTAAAAGAAGAGAAAAAGAAAAAACAAGCTTATTTACGAGTGCTACTCCTAGCTCTCTCTCTATATATATTTTCACTCATTACTCGCCTCTCTTAAACTTAGACAAACAAAATGAAAACTGTAAAAATTATTAATAATAAAATTTTGAAATGAAACATAAACAAAACAAAAATTATATATTAAAATAATTTAACAAATAAATAATATATTTATAAACAAACAAAAAAAAAACACTATATATATTACAACAAAGAAAAAATAAAAAAAGAACATGTTTTTACTCTTTAAACTTCTTAAATTTCTAATTACTAAACTATCCTCACTCTCTCTCTCTCTCTCTCTATCTAATACACTGTCAAACATTTATACTTGGCTAAAGGGATATTGCGTTCTCATTTAAAGTGTTTTGTATAAGAAATTATGTTTTAAAGAATGATTTTTTTACTTTATAATTTCATTCCCTTTTTTTTATTTATAATTTAAAATAATTTGTTGCTGTTCTTTCATTTTATTAGCTGATCTCATTGTACATTAAAATACTTTGCTTTTTTTTTGGGTTAAAACATAATTAAACTTGATTTTTGCTTTAACTGGAATAGAATTTCAAATTAGAACAAAACCTTTAAAAATAAGAAATTTTAAGAGCAACTTAAAGGTCCTTCGGATCAGTTTTTGTTCAGGAAAACCAGCTTAATATAAATTAGGTTAAACTTTTTTAGTTTTAAAAGACAAAAGTAGAAAGTAAAAGAAATCCATCATTTAAAACTAAAACGTTTTTTCACATGGTCCTTCGATCCCTTTTATTTCATTACAAAATTAAATTTTATTAAAAACTTGTTTGTGCTTAAACAAATAGCCATTATTTTCACATTTGAAATATATATTTCTAGACTTTGAGACAAGGAGTTAAAGTTCTTTTAAGACTTTTTAAGAAAATGGTTCTTCGGAACAATAAGGGTTTAATATTTTCTAGAGCAAGCAAAAGTAATTGGGTAAAACTTGCTTGGTTTTTAAAGACAAAAGAATAAAGTAAAAGAAATCCATGGTTTTATAACTAGAAAGTTTTATGTCAGCAGTTTTCATTGCTAGAAAATGGTCCTTCGAACCCTTTTATTTCCCAAAAAAGGTCATTAAAACCAAAACTAGTTTGTGCCTAAACAGATAAAAGTAATTTTCATAATTTAATATAAACTGATCTCTAATTTCTGAACAAGACTTATACAATTGACATAAAAATGGTCCTTCGGATTACAGTGGTATTCAAAAAAAATAAGAAAAATGTTTTGATTTTATAGGTTTAAGCAGTTGGATTACTTTCCTAAATAACAATAAAAGTATTATTGATAAAAATACAAGAATTCAATAAAATTCACTCGCTTAACGGTTTGACAAAAACAAAAATGGTCCTTCGGAATGTAATTTTGTTAAATAATAAGAAAAAACGAAAGATTTTATAGATTTTAAACAAAAAGTAAAGTTTTTTGCAAGAAATTTGACAAGTTTTATTCAAAAATTTTCACTATTTAAGTGAAACAGGTTTAACTTCCCTACTGAACCCGATTTGTTTGAAAAAAGATAAAAAATTTTAGATTTTATAGAATTTTATGGAGAAAAAATTATATTTCGAAAAAATGTCTTTATAAATTAGTAGATTTTCTTTTAAATTATGAAAAAACGATAGAGTTTTTATGAAAAACTAAAGTGTTTGACAAAAAATGGTCCTTCGTAAGAACTTCTTTTTAAATTAAAAGATTTTCTTTTAATCTATGAAAAAAAAACTCTTTTTTTTTCATAGAAAAATAATCCTTCGAAAGAATTTCTTTTTAAATTTAAGAACAAACTACTTTTGTTAAGATATCTTCAAAGAATTTACAAAACAAAATTGGTCCTTCGGTCCTACTAAAGCCGTTTTATTTGAAAAGATTAAGAAATTTTGGATTGTATAGAATTTTATTGACAAAAAATGGTCTTTCCGTAACAATTTCTTTTTAAATTAATAGATTTTCGTTTGAATTATAAAAAACATAAGTTTTTAACAAAAAAAAAGGGTCCTTCGGAAGACATAAAGTGCTCCTTCGAATGAATTTCTTTGTCAATTTAAAAACAAACCACTTTTGTTAAGAAATTATTTAGGAATTTGCATACTTTTCCAAAAGTAATCTTTCAGAATGTGATACATTTTTTTCAGAAATTTAAAAAATAAACTCAATATTTCAGCAAATAGTTTGAAAATTTTAAAAATTTTATTTTTTTAAGAAAAAATATTTCAAGATTTTTTTGAAAAGATAACTTTTTGTTTATAAAACAGTTTAGTATATTTTTTCTTCTTAAAAACTAAAGTGTTGAAAAAAAATGGTCCTGCGAACCCATGTGTTAAACAAAAAATGGTCCTGCGAACCCATTTTTTTTTTTTTTTTTTTTTTTTTTTTTTTTGTTAAATTCATGAAAAAAGTATTTTTGTTAAGAAAAAAGAGAAAAATTTATATAAATTTGTTATAAATTATTGAGAAATTAATCCTGCGGGTCTGATTTTAATAAAAAATTTTTAATTTTTTTACAGTTCCAGTTAAAACAAATTTTCTTTTTATCAATTTTGAGTTGCTTTCATTTACCATTAACTTTTCAATAACATCATGTAAAAATATTAATTTTGTTAAAAAAAAAACAAACAAAAAATTAAATGTATAAACAACTGTTGGCTGTTTTCTATTATTAAACCTAAAACTTAAAACATTTAAACAAAATTCATGGAAAATAAACATTTTGTAAAAATTATTACAAAATTATAGATAAAACTAAACAAAAACACTAACTAATTTATATAAAATATAAAAAATTATAACAAATTATATGATTATTTATATAAAGAAAATAAAAATTTAAAAAGTTTTAAAACTTAATAAACACACAACAAAAAAAAAAAAAAAAAACCTGTTAATAAAGGTTATAAATAGAAAGAGAAGACTAAAAACCAATACAAAACCCCGGAAACATACACAGACAACTTTTTTTTTAAAGAAAAAAAAAAGAAAAAGATTTTGAAAAGAAAACAATATGTAACAGAAATTTTCAAATATATAAAATTTAAATAAAAATAAATAATTTATAAAATTATTATTAAATAACAAATAAAATAATTTAAATTGGAAATTATTCTTATAAATTTACAAGACAACAAATTATAGGCGACACAACACTTTGTAAAATATAAATATAAAAACAAATACTGAACTATTTTATGCTGCAAACAATTTAAACTGCATTATATTTAAAAAAAAAAGAAAATAAATAATTATGTTTTTTATTTAAATATAATAAACCTTAAATATAAATATAAAAAATATTTATAATTATTAAAAATTCAACAAATACAAAACACATTTTTTTAAGTTCTTTTTTTTTCAATAAATTAAAAAATAAATTAAAAAATAACTACAACAAATTATGAATAATTATTTAAATATAAAAAATATATATAAAAAAAACAAAAAAAAAAAAAAATAAAAAAAATAGTTGGTAATTTTGCCTTAAGTTCTAAGCTTAACAAAAAATTCTTTAATTTAATATATAAATAAACATAAAAAATTAAAAAAAAATACAAAAAAAAAATTTAAAAAAAGTAAAATAGTTATAAACAAAAAACAATTTGATCATTGTAAAAATATACCACAAAAAAAAAAAAAAACAAAATGAATAGTTATTTAGTTTATAAATAAAATATATTATAAAAAAAGTAAATAAAAAATAAAACAAATAAACTTTTTAGCTTAATATAATTTTATTATTATTATTATTTCTTTAACTATATTTAAATATATTTAAATATTATTTTCTAAACATAAAAAAAAAACAAATTTCAATAACTTTTTGTAATAAAAATAAAACAACCAACAAACCACAAAAAAAAAATCTATAAAAAATATGTATTTAAAAAAACTAAAATATAAAATAAAATTTTGTAATTATTATTATTAATAAAACACTCCTCCCTAAATATAACTAAATATTAAACATATAAATAATTAAACAAAATAATTATTTGAAAATAAAAATCATTCAATTTTTCTTTTTAATCTAATTTATAATTATTTTTTTTTTTTTTTTAAATATAAACAAATAATCTTTAATGGAAACTAAATTTAATTGTAATTTTTTTTTTTTTTTTTTTGTACCTACCTAAGTAGCAATTGTTTCTTCTTTAAGTTGCTTTAAGTTTAACCAACAACAAATTTTTTTATAATTATAAAAACTTATAAATAAAATTGTTATTTTTCTTAAGTTTTTTTCCTAATAAATAAATAAATCCTTAAAAAAAACAAACCACTATTTTCAAAATTTCATTTTCCCCCTCAAAACTTTTTTTTATTTTTATTTAATAAAAAGCCTAAACACAAATATTTATATATAAAAAAATATAATACATAAAAAAATATTAATAAATATTAACTTTAATAATAATAAATAAAAACCAGTAAACCAACCACAAATTACACAAATTATTACCATAAAAATAAACATTTTATTGGTAACAAAACAAAAAAAAAAAAAAAAAAAAAACAAAATTTAAAACCAATCCATATACAAACAAAAGAAATTTAAATAAATAATAACTTAAAACATATAATTAATAATTAAACAATATAATGTTGGTTATATAAAACAAAATATAAAAAAACCACAACCTTAAGGTGACGAAGTAAAATGAAAATAAATAAAAAAAAAAAAACAAATCTGAATATAAAAATAATAAAGAAAAAAAGAAATTATTAGAAAATAAATTCAAAATGAAAAATATTAAAAAAAATAAATAAAAAATTTGTGTTTTTATTTAAAAAAAAGTCAGGGCTATTCTTTTTACACTTTTGCAGTAGTGATTCGAATATTTTTTTTGCTTGCGGAAGAAGTTTTGAGGGTCTCCATACTCATTTTGATAAGAGGTTTAGATTTATTGTAAAAAATGTATCCTATATGTGGTTTCTTTAAGAAAAGTGCAACAATGAGGTTATGTTGTTGGATCAGAAGAAAAATACTGTACCAACACTTAGGTAATAGAAGAAAAAAAAGGAAAATACATCATTTTGTGATCTATCTACTATCTATCTATCTATCTATCTATCTATCTATCTATCTATCTATCTATCTATCTATCT